GACGGTGATTCCTCTTCCAGCCCAGGTGGGTGGGTGAATGTTTATTCGCTCTGGATGGAGGCCCTGGACAATTGATAGAGGCCCTGGATGAGAAAGACGGCCCCCCGCCCACGGGACTCGGGTCTTGGGACGTCGCGGACCACTTCAGACGATACACTCTGGGGCTCGGGACGGGAACTCCAGACGATACATACGGAATGGGGGGGGTTGATTACGTACGTCCCCTCCTGTGCCGAAGGTGGGATATTGACGACGACATACAACGACCACGTCGGCCACCACCGCCACCTAACGTCCCGCCGACCGAGGGCGCTTTTCGGCGAGTTGTAAGTTTCGGTGGAGATTATGGAGCCCTTTTTACGGCAACGGTCGATAATCTCCGGGACAGCCGGCCTTTGCCATCCCGCCGGAATGCGATTGAGAAACCGGCATACCCGCCTTTTGCTTGCGACTGCGAGTCGCGAACCTGCAGAAGCTCACACGACACAATACCGGACGTGGAGATGCCAAGCGATGGGATGCGGGTCACTTGGCAGCAAGGTCAATACTGAGTATTCGAATACTCCCTGTTTCTCTTTCGCTCTCGAGGCTCGGAGGAATACCATGCTTAGCTTTGAATCGGCTCTTGAGGAAACTTTCTGCCTCGGATCGGATATTTTTCTTCCATAGTATCGTATCCGTGGTAGCAGCCGCAGTCGGCAGCATTGATCAAGGCAGGGCGCTTGCTTTTCGTCTTAGTGATGCTGACAATATCACAACTTACACGTATTCCTGGTGCCGCGCATCGCGCATCGCCAAATCACGGACTTCTCGCCGTTCAATCTATATCCAAGCCAACGATCATCGTCCGTGTCCGTGTATCCATACTACGGTACTACCGTACGGATAGTGTAGGGTTCCCTTGGTCCCCCTCTTCGAGGGTCCATCCAGTGCAAGATTTCCCAGGGAAACAATGGCCGCAACTCTGCAGTTAAGGACGACACCCAGCCGATATCAGGTTACTAAAAATGGTCCAAAGGAGGGATGGGCCCGGGACGGGAAGGGGGCGGCGAAGTGGCAGCGCCAGCAAGCAAGTGAGGGCGGGAAAGGGGCACGCGCGGGGGAGGGGGAGAGAAAACACCAGATGTAAGATTTGCAAAGTCACCGAAGATCAGGACAAGGACCAAGGGACGACCGAGAAAGCGACGAAACGTGCTCTATACTTTGCTCTTTTCTCACTTTCTTGGCCACAGACTCCGAGTGTCAGCACACCACACCGACCGAGTTCTACAAGTTTTGAAAGTCCCATTCTCATTCTGTTATCCCCCATCCCCCGCCCTGAACCTTGTCTCCATTTCTTCTTCTGTGACCGCATCGTCAGATCGAAATTTAGAGTTTTGGTTATCTTGGTTGGTTCATCCCGCAACCAGAACCCTTACACCACGCCGCTGGGGACCAACTCGAAACGCAAATTCCAGACACCGCGAGACCCGTGGGAAAGGCAGGATAAGGGGTTTGTTAGGGTTCGGTTTGGAAGTGCCGTGTGGCGGTGGCGAGGGAGGGAAAGCCAAAACCAAAACTCGACACTTGCGAGGAAAGTTGTGATGGAAGTGAGGAAGGTTTTCCCTAGCAAAAGAGCTCAGCCATTGAAGAAGAAACACACACACACGTACACACACCGTAATCTCTCGTCAGCTTGTTTTGGCCCTTGCTTGTGCGGGTTGTACGACCAAGAAAAAGTCATTGTCTCTCTGATTACCCATCTCTGACTACAAGACTACATGACCACTATAATCAGATTTATAGTTTACTTGGACTCTTCAGCTCGGTTGCGCTGAAAAGGCACCACCCCGCGATAGCAAGAGCGCAACGGGGAAAAGGACAAAATAGCTCTTGTCGACACGCCCCCCAAAATCCCTAGTGTACACACAGTCCCATCCCCTCATCCTCAACTTTGAAAGCCATTATCTCCCAAATATCCAAGCCTTCATCTTCCGTTCTCAAAACCGCCTAGACAACTTTACGAAATCATCCATCCCCCGTTGGCCTGTTGTTTTGACAACCGGAATCTACTCCGGAGAATTGTTGTTCGTCCAAACCAGCCCTAAGCCACGCCACACTCACCTACATACACACCCTTCTGCAAGAGGACTACGGCAGAAGCCCGGCCATTCTCGATGACAAGACAATAAGGCATTGCTAGTTCCTACCGCACTTGGTTACGGCCGTACGCGTGTACTTTCTCCACGGCTCACGCTCACGCCCCTCCCACTTTCCCTTTCCTTCAAAATACTTTCCGTATCGTCGCTACAACGGCCCTGAGAATCCCTCTCAACCCTTCTCGCTGTCCCCCCTTGAATAAGCAAACCTGTACGTACGCCCCTTATCAACCCAGCGATATTTAGACTCTGGTGGTGCAGCACGGCACGGAATCCCTCTCAAGCCATGGTAGTACAAGACTGCCCACGCCCCGACAAAAAGACTTGAACAATATCAAGAACGCATGCTAAACTTTTTTCCAAACCTTGCTTGGCCCTTGAGTCCCCCCATCTTCACGCCCCTGTCTGCCTCCCCCTCATCACCACCACCCACCTCCTCACGCCCCTGCTTTGCATTCCCCTCACCGGTCGAAGTCATCTCCAATTTTTCGACGCCTCACAAAGCAAAGATCTTTTCCCCCCTTTTGCCTGCCGGTCTTTTCTGGCTGTACTATGTACGTCTTTGCTATGCCGTGGCACGGTTGGGGGAAACAACCATGGTTTGGGAATGTGGGAAGTGGGGCCAAGTGCGAGGGGGCAGAATTTCTTCCTGACTTCACACATTGGTTGGTGAGCGAACAAAGGCAATTAAGGTTTATATCCCACATTCAGGTTTTCATTTTTTTTCGTTTACCTTACCTCACCGCCGCAAAAGAATCGACTCAACTTGCGTTGGTTTTTTTTTTTCTGCTGAAAAAGAAAGTCTCGTCCCCGTTCCTTCTGACTTCGTTGACAGGCCAGGGGGGAGGTGCCGTGAGAAGTCAGGCCGATATGCATGATCACATCGACCTGAAAGCCGCATCAAATCTTGTAAACAAGAAGGTCCTCTTACAAGTTACACAGGAACGTGCTCTGTCGTGGTGCGGAAGTTTATTATCCCTCTTGTCCACTTGCCTCTTTGATTCTTTTGCCCTTGACACGTAAATTGAGTCCAAGACCTGCGCGGTCAAAACTATAATCTCTCTCTCCCTTTCTTTTTTCCCTCTCCTCATTTTGCCCAATCTGCTCGTCCGACCACAGTCTTTACTCTTGGACGAGACCGTGGACCGAAGATGTAAACTCTAGTAGTGACGGTAAAAAGAAAAGAGTAGAGTTTAGTTGCACGGTCAAAAGAGAGGCTTGAACCACCAAGACCAAAGCTCCCCTCTAACCAATTGTGGACTCTCGTATACATGCTATTTCATCTGTAGACTTGTAGGTTTTTGTGCAAACTTTTGAAGGCTCCCGGTTGCGAACCGAACTTACCTACAGACGATGGAAATCCAAAGTCGCGAGTGCGAACGGAAAGACGTCGTCGTCGTCGTCGTCGTCGTCAGTAGGTCCCCTTAGTTTTCGCAAATCCCTAAAAAGTCTATTATTAAAAGATTTGATCCTGCTGACAGAGACGAACGAGCGAGACACAAGTGACAGCGAGGAGGGGGGAAAGAAAGTAAAAAGAGAGCTTTGACAGTGAGTTGCCCGCCCGCCCGGACGGGATGAACATGTCAATCGGCAAATGTCATGCATCTCAGCGCCCGCATCTCTTTTGCCTTGCCAGTCAAAGACGTCCAACACTTCCACGGAGAACCTACTACTCAGCTTACGCATCTTGTTTTCCCGTGGTTCGGTTGACGATGATGTCGATCACACCACCCTGTCCCCCCCCCCGTTTGCATTTGTTGATTCACTGCACTTTTGGGCAGCAACGAATAGGCGTACGCTAGATACGGAGCTTTGGTTGGAATGAACCTCTGAAGCCTTGTGCTTGCATCAAATGCCCGTTATGTTTTTCGATTTTCAATCTTGCCCTCTTCTAGGGGTGTGCTGCGAGACTACACATGCTTACGGCGGTGACGGCGGGTGGACGGCGGCGCCATTTGGAAAAGAGAGTTGTAACTTGTAAGGCGAGAAGGTGGACGGAAAAGCGTAGTGAAGAATGGAAAAAGAGCATCCGCAAGGTAGGCGTGAACGGCGTGAAAGATGCCACGCGATACGCGATACGCCTTATTCGGTGGTGCAACGCTAGATCACCAGACCCCCGGGGAAAAGGAGGAGGCGTGTGGGAGGTTCGTCGTCGTCGACGACACCGGATTGTCTACTACGCAATATACTATCCGACCGCCCGTAGCTAGCAAGTTCAGTAGTCTTTCGTTTGTTCCCGTCAGCGGCGACTATTACCGTGATTGCTTTGGGAATTACAAAATTGGTGTGGTGGGATGCCTAGACTCTCAATCACATGTCTTTGCGACTAAGGAACCCAAAGAGACGGGATAGCTTCCCTTTTCTCTGTAGCGGACTTTTGTAGAGGGTGTGTGTATGTTAGAGAGAGAGAGAGACACACACACACACATAGAAAAGAGAGAAGGATGTGTGGCTTGACTTGTCAATGATGACTACAGCCCACCAACCGCAAAGGAGGCTAGAGCAAGAACGCCAGAGATGCGGAATTCATGTACGCGCCCCTTTTGGTAATTAAGGTTTTCCCACCTGTGGCCCGTCCCACCCTCTTCTTTGCTTCTTCCCTCCGACCCTCCTCGGGCATACGCCGCCCTCGTGCTTCTGTTCTTGTTGTTGTCATCGATACCTGTAGCAGTCACGGTACCCTGACCTCTAGGGGAGTATACGTACCTAAACCACACTTTTCTCCCAAATTACTCTCTCCCTCTTTACCGTCCCGTCCTGTTTTCCTTTACTGCGTAGACACACCCAAAGGGCCTAGGCCTAGCTATGGACGGCATGGACCAGGCAAACGCCAGCTGTCACACCATCTACCCGATACCCCTTTCAGCGTTTTGGTTTTCGTTCAGCAAACTTCATGGAGAGTGTGGTTTTGGTCAGTTCTCTCCTGCGACAACTGTCAGAATGTGGCTAGGGTAATCGTTGCGGTGTGCATATACTCACATACTCCCTCCCTCTCTGGAATAGGCAATAAACCCAACGGCTGAAAGTATGCAAAGTTCGCGCATCGATGGCCCATGGCAAGCTGTGCTCTCGGCGAGCTCAATAGGTGACTAGTTGTAGGTGTTGTACCTAACGTGCCGTTGAGCCATATCACCACACCCCTTGGACAGCTGAACCGTCTGAACGGTGCAACACACCGAGCAGACAGAGTTGGAAAGGAAATGAATGGGCGAAGCAACCTCCCGCTGCATCAGCAGCATCCATCGGTCACGATCGGTTGACAACTTTGACACTGGCATCGGCACATCGGCACCGACACCGGCAGTAGCAATTGCATTGGCGCGCTTCATTTCGTCGATTCGCTTCGCACCGAGATCACGCCCGCCCAGGTGCTTCGCATCGAAGCCATCAGGCGACGACGGCCCTGCTGTTGCCGCCGCCGCCGCCGCTGCTGCTGCTGCTGTGCCTGAACCTATTCGTACCCCGCCATGCTGGCCTACCCAGCAGCCTGTCGTCCCTCGCATGCCCGCAGCCCCAGGCCATGCTTCTGCATGAGATGCCTCACTTTGAAGCAAGGAAGAGAGAGCCACGAATTTTTCGTCCCTTGTAGAGTTTACCCCTTGCTTGTGTTGTATGGCATCAATAGGCTGCAGCAGCGGCGGGAGCATGCCTCACTCCATACGCAGTATCGCGGCATCGCCAAGTTCCAAACGTACCTGAACCTAAAGGTTTCCCCCAGTACAAGTCCGCAGGACGTTCCGTAGGGAAGTGAAAATAAAAATAAAAAAACGGCACATGGCCGAACCGGCCTAACCCCAGTTTGCAGGCTGCAGGATAGGACCAGCATCGCAGTAGTTCCCAAGAAGAGAAGATAGGATACGGAGTACTCCCACCTTCGACTCCCAAGTCCAAGAAACCTTCTAGAACAAAACATACGATCGAACAATGCCCAGCGCAACCACAGCATATGCTCTTACAACTCCACGACTTGTTAGACTTTTTGACTTTTCGGTTCTCCAATTCTCTTGCAGGGCGTGTGGGCGGCCTGACAGGTCCTAGCTACGTGTCTCTCGTCTCTCTCTGACAGTACCAAGTCGGTCCTCGCCTATTGAGTTCGACTCTGCCTCAAGCTTCTAATCTGGCCTCGCCGAGCTGCCTGACACTCGCCGAAGTGCCCCGTATGGTGTCCGTATGCTGCGCCGTGAAGAGGGTTCGTAAGGTGTGGCCTTGTGATGCTGACCATAATCACCTGCCCCAGCCCTGTATCTCGCTGAGTGGCATAAACATGCCGGCCCGGCGACGTGCGGTGAACTCGTACCAATACATCTTCAAGACGCACGATTTCTTTCGCATCACAGAGTTCCCTGCCTCCAGCCCCCCGGCCGACGTCACGCTGAGACTCCGCTGACCTCCGCGCTTCGCGTTACGTACTGCGGTACGCTCCCGTGCGGTGCGTTGCGGTGCGTTGCGAATCCATGGGACAAGAACGGCACAAAGAGAGACCCGCATCTGCACCCACGGCGGCTCTAAACCTTCTTTTCACTGCCCACCCGGACCCCGGGCCTAGGACTGCTTATAGGCTCGGAAAGGGCGTGTAAATGGAGTCACGACTGGGAGATCTTCTATGGGGACGACAAGTCTTGAGACGATCCTCCAATCACCGCCCCCGGTTCACCTCAACTTGGCAGTTGATGTGCTCTCTAGGTAGAACTTCGGCTATTTGTAAGGGGGTGGGCGTGAGTCAAGTACCGTACTCCATACTCGACCATACAACCAAGAGCCAGGCCTGTCAAGGAATGTTGGAGGAAAGCTTGGCCATCTCGGCCGGTTAATGGGCGACAGCGCCAAGGAAATCCAGCCCGATTTCTTGCGACAAATAGTCGCGAACTACTCCGTACGAGTACGGAGTACGAAGACACGAGGCGCGTCCCACTCCTGGAGCTTGAAGCCAAGCCAACCGCCAACCGCCAAAGCGGCTCCCACGAAGACTTACTCGCTGCGACCTTGCCATTCCTGTACAAGAGGCGGCCGCCCCGTAGCGTGGTATTCTCGACTGGAGACCACACTACCGTGATCGATCGCCCGGGCACCATGTTCGATGGGGAAGCGCGCAGCAAAAGGCAACTGAGATGGTGAGCAATGCTCCCAAAGCCTATCTGCGACGGAGTGGACATCTGACGATCATAGAGTTTTTGGAGGATGGATGCGAGTGCGCGCAGTGTCCGAGAGAAGATGAGAGCCAGTCAGTGAGAGTAAGAACAACACCGGTAATCACTAATCGGTGGCCAAGGCAAAAAGGAATATTAAGGTTTCCTGATAGTGTCTTTGTTGTATATCGACGATCAACATGGAGCTCCACGGCGATGACCCCTATTTTCGTTACTTCAGATGCGAAAGAGGAGATGGTGTGGGAATGGAACTAGACCAGACCGACACAAGCGCCACACGCCCCTCCATAGTTTGTCATTCCCGCGCCCTCCTTTGAGCTTTTCAGTGAGGTGTGCGGCGTGCCGTGTGTGCGTGCTTGGGGATGGTCCCTCTCTCCCAGACTGCCGGGCTTCCAGTGATGTATGAGGCTTGGATCGAGCGCTTGCAAATCTCATTAGGCTTTCTGTCCAAACGTGTGTAGCTGCTGAGAGGCTGGTGCGGCGCGCTAGCCTCCCTCACTGCTGGGAAAGCCGCGTAACTGCGTAATCTGCGTATCGTCTGTGGTTGGTGTGTTTTGGACAGCCGTCTCGCGTGCACGGGATGGAATTGGAGGAATGATGAGATGGACGACAAATCTGCCCAGGTGGAGCATATCGTCCGGGAAAGGCAGTTCCCTTCGAGCCCCCCCCCAGTATTACATAGTATCCGTAGGCGAGACAGAACATGGGATTTGCGATTTGCCGTGGGATTTTTTGGGGTCTCTTTAGACTTTGGTAGTGCATGACATGCCCTCGAGCCCTCGCACAGGGACTGGTTCCCGTACGAGAAGGAGGAAATGTCGTGCCATGAGCAGCAGATGAACAGCCAGTCACCCTCCAACAAGCTTCCCTAGCAGAAAGTGGAATTAGCATGAAGGGTCGCAACGAATGGCCAACAACGATGGAAACATTGCTGGTCTCGAGATCATACAGCACCTTACTACTTGGTATAGGCACTCCCTGGTCTTGCCAGAGCGTGATGCGATGTAACTCAACCTGCCACCCAGATTCGCTGTAGATCGCTGCCGGGGAAAGGGGAACGAGATTTGGCAGGCGCGCCGTAAAGCTTATCCCGAGGGATGTAATCGTAGGCTGTGCTAACTCTATTCCTCCCTGCCTTGCACGCCTGGCAGCAGGCTGTCTTTTCGTCGTTCAGGCTGGTCTCTGGCTACCTACTACGTAGACTCATTAGGGGTAGCCAGGTAGCCTATGGCCCTCTGGCTGGTCGCCTCTGACCCTTGCTTTTCCATCTCCGTACCCCGGTCGAGCAGGCTGCACCGAAACATGGCTGATCGGTTTGTATGGTGGACCGCGTACGAATACACTACACTAGACCGGGGGGGGAGGAGATGACGGCTATTTCGCCGTTTGCTTCTAACCCCGAAAGTTTAAAAAGCAAATCCCGATTCGACAACCTGCCAACTTGCCAACGGCAGTGTAAGGTGAGACACTTTCTCACCTCTGCCACAAGCGGCTAGCAGACCTGCCAGTGCACTTGGGCCCAGCTCAGTAGTGCCAGAGTAGCCTGAAGCCTCCCGTCTTTTCGTCCGTGCCAAATTCCAGCTGGTCGGTGTAATCCGGAGTCCGACATGGCATGTTTGTCCATGTTTGTCCATGTCTACTCAGCAACTGCTCACGGCTGGTCTCAAGTGCCTGATACTAGCCTCTTGGAAGTTGAAACTTGAGAGCCTTCACCTGTAACTAGTGCACATTTGCCGATCTTAATTGGCTTCTCCTAAAGGGTTTGAGGCGGTCAAAACCTTCTCACGCCCATCGGCGGACTTCTCTTCGTCAGAGAGCACCGTGTTGTTGCTTGCTCTCACTCTCCTTGTGTATAGCTCCACGTCACGTGCACCGTCTCGACCGCCGCTGAACCGGAACACCTGCCGAGTAGTGCCAAATGCTGAGCTGCTCTTCATATCTGCCGGCATGTTGAAGACTGCCGTTCCGTTCCGGAACGTTGAGAGTTTGGAAGTCTTGTACTGGCTGCTTTGTCCCTGCCTGTTGCGGGTTGGGTTATTGTAAGCCTCAAGCCCGGTCGGGTAAACACCGACACCTTCGACTTCCAACCTCAATTCTTGGAATAGTGTTGCGTCCAGGCTCAGATCACCATTTGCTGACATGTTGGCAGTTTGATTGACGATCAGGGGGTACGAATATGTTGACTTGTATGTGCCCATCCCCGTCAGTTCGTCTGTCCCGGTGATGATGAAGTTATTGAAGCCATTGCGACCAAATTGGCCTAGCGTCGCATTGTTGGTATAGGATAGCTTTTGAGTCCATTCAGGATTTTTGGTCCCTTTCTTGGAGACTACTTCGCCTTTGACAGAGATCATCCTCGTCACATCCAGATTGAATGCAAGAGTTTCGTTGGCGCCTGTAGAGTTCTTTCCTAGGGCCCGACCAGTGATTTTGATATCAGGGTCCGAGATTGATACGGTGGGCGGTTTCCCGGTCGTAATGGAGCCCTCTTCGTCCAGCCATAGGAAAACTTTGCCAGACACGACCCAGAAGTTGCCAACCGTCGTATTCACAATCGTTTTTTGTCCGTCATCCGCGAGGCCGGCGATTTTGATCTTGAATGTGTGCTCCTTGCCATCACTCAGAACCGGGAGCCATGGCGAGATGTCGATCTCGTGTTCCCGTAAATCGTAGGCATCAAGGCCTACAAGCGGGCGATGGAAACTGGGAACCACGCCTCCAGTGAAAATAACAGGGAACGGCCATTGAACCCCGGCTAGCTGGTCATCAATGATGACTTGCACCTCACGCCACGGGCTGCCATCCGGAGCCATACCGACGGTGGCATTGAAAGCTGCAGCATCGCTCTGAAGTACATTGCTCCACCAAAATTCCTCGGTTCCTTGGCCATTGGCCGAGACGGAGAAGACTGCTCGATTGGCATTGCGTGGAAATTTGACAGTGCTCACGGCTTCACGTTCAGGCACTTGCCAGGCACTGCCTGTGTTGGAGGACGCGTTCCGTGATGAGATGGGGATGATGAGGTCAGCCGGGGGTGCACTGTCGGTTTCGACGTCGCTTTTGAAAAAGGTTGCGGTCAGGGTGCAGTTGAAGGGCCCCGTAAACCTGTCGTCTTGGCGGCGCGTTAGCCGTTTTGGCCCCCACTCCGAAGTCTCCGAGGGAAGGATTCGGGGATGGCAGGTCACTTGGTTTTGGAGCCTGGAGGAACTGGGATACGGGACATGGGCTTACTTACCGATGAGGTTGGGCAAGTCGAAAATGATCTTCTGAGGAGTCTTCCAGAGACTAAGATACGGGGTCATGTCTTTCCAATAGGTCCAGATGATTCCGGGCGGCGCTCTGGGCTCCGCAGTGGATGTTCTCCATACCTCCGTGTCACCGAAATACAACAAAGCCAGCCGATCCAGTTGGCGCCCTGCAGAGGTGGCAGTAAAGTTTACAATGACGCGGTTGAAGTCGCAGCCAGGAGGCTTGTAGTCGCCTATCAACTCCAAGTCAGGATACCTATTTCCGGGTTATCCACCACGCATTTGATTTGCGTTGGTGGTGGTGTGACGAGATTGCGATGCCACTTACCGACAAAGGGCTTGTCGAAGCTGTTACCAAAAGAGTGGTCCATCAACTGCACCTTGCAGTCTTTGGGGTCTGTCGTCGGAGATTTACCCTTGCCATCATCAAAGCTGCCCGTCAACGCCTGGTACACGGGGCCTTTGGGACCCAACACTGGCTGGGCGACTTGAAAACAGTCGAGCGGCTTCTGTTGTTGGCCGCCCTCTGCATCTAGCAAAGTGCCCATTGGCGCCGGAGTATCGGCAATAATTCCCTGCTGGCGGGTGACATAGCCTGACAAGGCCGCCGCTGGAATCAGATTACGTGAAGCCACGTATCCCGTGTTCAGCAAGAGAACAAAGAGAGACAAGGCAAGCGCCTGAGTGACTGGCCGAGGGAGCATCGTGGGGCCCCGTGGAGGGTTCAGGCTTGACGCCTCACTCTGCAGCCTCGAGGAGGCCCTTCTGCCCTATGTCTCTGGGTTGGGTACGGTGCGTGTCTGGTGGTTGGTGTCAGAAACCGCGTGACGGAAGAGTAGGTGTGAGCAAAACGGCGCATCGAGTAAAGCCACCACAAATCCCAGAGGGTCGGGCAGGGAGAGGAGGAGTGGAGACGCATGGGAGGAATGCGAGCGAACCCGGTGAACGCCACTCAAAGGCAAACATGAGGAACAAGCGCCTGTACAAGCAGCTGAGAGGCACTAAGAAGTAGGCGGCGTCGTGCGCCAGACGAGATTTGGTAGACGTAGGGACGGAATACAGTACGTAGATCCGCATCTATTGGAAGTAAAACGGTTTGGGCGGCTGGCTGGCAAGGGAGCGGGGAAGGCTGTAGGCCGAACCACAATTGGCTTGGTCTCTGATGTTTGTGGACGTACCTTAGCTGCTGCTTACTGAGATGATGATAAGGCTTCGAGGCGGTAAACAAGGTATCGAGATGATGAGGTGGAATTGGTCCGACACTCCGCGCGCGGCGCTGAGGCAGAGATGGAGAATGTATAGGTAAACGCCGCTACGAGACAATCCAGCCTCAGCAATGTGGGTGACGATTGGCGAAGCGATAAGCGCCGTCCAGAGGTAAAAAGACGGCGAGCTGTGTGCTATGATGTTGAACCCGATCAAATGAGCGGTAGACTGGGTCGATGAAGAACAGATCCAACGTCGGAAACCGGGACCAAAAGGAAGGCTTCTGTCTGGACAGACAAAAAGTTGGTGAAATTGGCTGAAGTAGATGTAATGTACAAGTCCACCGCTGGATCCGGGAAAAGGCAAAGCACTAGAGTGAAGCCACCATTCGATATTGAGTTATGCTTTGACGAGGCTGTTTCGCGAGGAAGACATGCTGGAGGGGAGCAAATCACAGATGAAAGAGCAAAGGCGGAATCCGTCTGGTGAAGCAGTGGGGAGCCCAAAGAAAGCCAAGAAGCGCGAAGCTGGAGAAATCTGCTGTGGCTGTTGTCGTGTGGTTGGCTTTGGATCTACCTTTGTGTATGTACCTGTGTGTTTGTGTCTAATGTGTATCAACTTTGGCCTTTCCTCACTTGTTGGCTAAGTTTCTTCCGCCTGCCATCTTTCAGCTCAGGTACCTGCCTCAAACCATGAAGAAATTCATGCCGAACTTTGCGGCAGTAGCTGTCTTCCACATCCGAGAGAGAGGGAAACAGTGAAGAGGAAATCCCACCGGACAGGAAGGAGAGACACCGGATGGGAAAAGGGCAAGAAGCCGAAAGAAAATAAAATCTGAACCTTCTCAAACAAAAATGGTGGCTGCTTTGCTGCAGGAAGCAGAGAGCTCTTACAAGTTACAGGTGCTTTCCTTGCTGGATTTCCTGTTCTGTCACCAAAATCGCACCCTCCGCACCTGCCAGACCATGCAAGCCAAACAAAACGCCGAATAACCTTAAACGCTGCAGGAGGGCAAGAACCAGCCCGGGATCCAAGCTGACCTGAGGCAGCCACTCCAGCCTACCTCATGCGCTTGCCTTCCTTTCCGTAATCTGAATTTTCGTACCTTTCCTTCCACATTCAGACACACGACTAAGAGAAGTACAGATCATCAACGGAAGTAACGCCTGCCACATAAATGAATGCGTTGTCACTGAACACAATCATGCATAATTCACGATACAGATGGTCAAGTACAAGTAAATGATGAATGAATAACACAATTGTTTCTCCCGTGTTTACACTATTTTCCAGAATGGCACCTGTCTGGAGTATTGTCTATGATACATGAAAAATACAAAGATGCCACGTCGCAATTGTCATGCTTGCGTATAAGAGTGAACATGAGTAGAATAAAAAAAGGAATTTAGCCTGCGCCAAAAGTGCAACTCGAAAACGTGTGATGGGATCACACTTGCCCATCTCTTCTCCGGCGATCGCCCCATGATTGCTGTCCCTCCACACTAAGACATCTATACGTCGCTGCGTATTCTCAACAATAATCCCAAAGTTTAAACTGACACACAGTATCGCTCATCATCCTTCTGGCCCGCGCGGTACCCCGATCCAAGACACTTGACTGGCACAAATCCACTGTAAAGTAAATTGATACCATACTTTGTTGTGTCATGGCAGCGTCTTAGCGGCTCTTCACATAGGCGCCTCGAGCGCTGGCCAAGCCACACTTGAATGGTAACCAAAAAAGGTGTGGGGAGGCAGCATAGTCGTACAATGTCTGCGGTGGCTTGAGTGGCTATCGGCAACCAGTGATCCGAAACCAACGAGTCGTCCCTTAGACACCGCCAGTCCAAGTCATCCCAACTCGAAGCGATGCTGCCGCTGCCAGGCCAGCCGTGTGGTAGGACATGCTTGACCGTGGCAGAGTATCATCGCTATGCGAGTTACTGCAGTCTTCGTCGTCCGAGTGACATTCATACGACAGCGGAGGGGTCGTTCGATGTCTGTGCAAACGTGCTCTCACCAGTGCTGTAGAGGCGCTAAAGGATGACCAGACGTGCAGTTCAACGTCTTCGCATACTCTCTTCCTTCGAAAATCAAGCGAGCCACCACAAGGCAGAGGCTGTGGGAGAAATGGTAGGCAGCAGTATGCCTGTAATCGATTCAAGACATAAACTCGTCGGGCCTCTGATTGAGCCCGCCCATGAAGTGCTGACTAGATCCCGGGCCCGAGTTGCCTGCCGGAGCCTTTCCCATGCTCCTCCCTCTCCTAGCCAAGTGCGGGCTACCGCCTGCGCTGTGACGTCCGCCGCGCTGGATGTTGGAGAGCGCGGAGCATTCTTAGGAGTGGGATTGGTGAGATGGTGGAGGTCCTTTTTTGCTCCTGCCTTGGAGGAGGAGGATGAGGGAAAGGGGAGTGAGGGGACGCTTGGGCATGACCCCACTTTTTTCCTCGTTGTTGCAACGCCCCGGAACAGGGATTTGGGCTGATGAGTGGGTGCTTTTCGGGTATTAGAACGGATATATGCGTCTGGTGGATTTGTTGGTGGGCTGATGAGATTATGGGACGGATAAGGGGACCGAGGCGCGCAGACAGCCAAGACTGGATTCTCGGGTACGGCAAACACCTACCAGGGCCCTGACGGAGTATGGCGGAATCGGATGCATGCTTGAAAGTACAAGCTGTGGCAAAGACGAATGAGTGCCATGTCCTATTTGGCTACTTCTTCCACAGAAGAAGATATGCGGGCGCAGGCTGCGAATTCCCGAGAAAGTGGGCAAAAGCTGCATCCACTGCGAGATGTACCTCCCAAGACAGAATGAGAGTCATAAGTCGTGTAAATCCTCGAGGTGTAGCTCCTAAGTGTGTATGCGGTGCTTCCCGTGTACAACTCGAAGGAAATGCCAGACTGGGAAAGTGAGGCTCGCGGTTGGTGTGGGAAAGGATGTGCTACTTGCAGAGCTGGAGCTTCATATACAAAGCTCTAGATGCCGAGTTGCATCCCCGGCCACGCGCAATGATTAAGTTGCGCAATAGACCAATATGCATGGTCCCTTAGCAAAGTCGAGGGCCTGGGATTCATGCGCGGGCGTTGTCCCAGTAGCGCTTGCGGGCGGCCATGGCGATCTTGTTGCCCATGAAGCGGTGCTGGAAGTAGTTGAAGACGGCGAACTCGTCTCGGTTGAGAACGTAGGACTCGGGCTGAGCGGCGACCTTGGCCCAGATCTGGCTGATAGCGCTCTCCAGGATGCTGCTAACAGTCGGGTCTGAGGCTCCGTCTTCGCTCTCTCTGGCGATCTCGAGGGCCTGCGCAACGCTGGCTGAGTCCTTGAGCGAGGCTGGCGTCACCGAGGCGGTGTTGCCGACGTGAAGGCTGTGACCCATACTGCTGGCGAGGCTGCTGAGGAAGGGTAGGTCGGTGCAAGGACGGCTCGAGGAAGACAACGGTCTAAAGGGAAGGTAGAGGGACTGCTGGTGGTGATCTCCCTGGGGTGTGATGGACAGCATCGTAGTGTGTAAGAGACGAGGTGTGTTGTGTGTATATATAAGATGGCGAAGGCGAGTGTTGATATTTGGTGAAGAGGCGAATATAGCCAAGAGAGTAAGAAGGCTGGGGAGGATGAGAGATGATATATAATGTGATGGGCTGATCCGATCTGGTCTAGGTGACGGGGAGGGGCGACGATATTTAATGAGTAGCGGGGGGCAAGCAACGAGGTGTAGGTTGTAGGTACAAGAGCCAGAACCACGGATGCTGGGTATCTCCAATAAAGAGGCGCGCACAGTTGTTTGACGTTGTGCCTTGGCTTGCGTTGTCTATTGCAGGGGAAGGGCTGGAGCTGGGTCTTGCTGTGGATTCGATGTGCGATACAAATGCACCGATCCGAATAGGACAAATCCAACCCCGGATTAGACGGTTCTCTTATAGGAACTGGCCTTGTCACCACGGATGAGGGAGCGGAAGGGCAGCTCAGGACAGGTACGGGTATGGATAGTCAGGCATGGGTTGAAAAGTATAATCGTCCGTATAGAGAGTACGTATCTGGGAGGGAGTGTGGGATTCTAAGTTTTAATTGGGGGAGTGTGAGAGAAGAGGTTTCGGGGGAGTGTACTAAGATAAAGTGACAAGTGCAAAGAAAAAGAGTGTGCGAGAGAGAGTGAGAGCATGGGTGTGGGCGAAGGCGTGTAAGGTAAGTAGGTGTGAGATCAAAGAAGGACGGGTGAAGGGTGAGTAGAAGCTAGGCCCTGGAGTGTGAGTTGAGAGGCGTGGAAAGTGGGAGTGTGTGGTGTGGCGTGTGTGAGAGACAGAGAGTGGTGTGCGTGGGTATGCGTGTAAGTCATCAGTCAGTGAGTTGAGTTTCTCAGAGGGAAAGGAAGGTTGTCAGTTCCAGCCCAGTCTAATTCAAGTCGTGGGCCGTGGCATCAGCAAAACGAGACGAGGAAACAGATGTGCGGGTCACTCTCCTTCTGGCGGTTGACAGTCAACCTGGACTCGCAACAGTAATGTGACCTGCATCCCGTCACCAAGAGACTGGGGCCTCCGTTGCAAGCATCCAGCCGCCATGCAAAGTGTATAACGTGGCGGCATTCATTAGCCTCGTACTGGGTCTTGGCATCAAGAGGATAGACTGGGTAACTGCTGGCTGGTTGTAAACGCAGAAGTGACAAGAGGAAGGTGGAAAAAATAAAAAAGGACACAATTTGCATGGGGGTGAAAAGGACACCTCCCAGTACGGAGCACATACGCCGTGGGGATGTAGTGTGGAAAGCAGCGACAGATCCCAACCCGCGAGGGGTGGAGAGATGTGACGAGGTAGGTAGATGGTCCTCCCATGAACATGGAGAAGGGAGGGCGTGTAATAGAGCAGTGGGGATCTGGAAGGGTGAAAGTGAAGGGCAAGGGACAGAGGTGTTGGGGGAAGAGGGGGAGGGGTGTGTGAATGTGGTCCAGCAAGAGAAAGGTTAAAGAACCCAGTGAGCGGCGATGAGGACGACGAGGACAATGACAACTTGGACCGACGGTATTTGACTGACTGACGGAGGTCGACGACGAAGGAACTGAACTCTAAGCGAAGCTTGCCTTGACCGGGAGACCTTTGGTGCCTCCAAGTTAGTCACGAGTTGAAGCAGCTTGCTCTCAAAGTCCCTTAGACTTGCAGCCACCCGCGAGCCGTCAAAACCGTAACCGGCCAGGAGGAACTACTTGCAGATAGGTGTTATTGCAATGCCGTGACCCGGGGGTACGTTACTGGAGCCGATGCTGGCGCACGAGTAGGTACTGAGAAGCAGTGCTTATGCCCCTTGTTGTGCGTGGTATGAAGCGCGCAGTCGAGGTCAAATGATGGTAGTATCAGTACTCTACATAGTATACCGCAGCAAAGCACAGCACAGCTCAGCTCAGCGCGGCATGGCTTTACGAGGGTAAGTAGGACGCGAATGCTAATCACCCATCAAGACCTAGATCGGGATGGAACAAGAGAGGCGTGGGTGGACTCCACATGGCCAAAAGTCTCTTTGACACATCACCAGAACGGAGGTATTTCCGTTTTGGTCCAAGCTGTTTGGGAATGCGATTGACTGAGTGTAAAGGCAATTCTGAGTTCCCGACGATCGCTCTATCCAGTGTCTGAAGGCATGTCGGAATGCGCGTGTGATGCTGATAGTTGAGACGGACAATAGCAAGCACAGACTTGTGCGTACTGGAGAGCCACGGTATGATGCAAATATGCGGTATGTGCGTGAGTTGGCAAAAGCCTATGTTCGGCTGGGCCGTGAAGAGTCAAGACGGTGTGGCGAAAAGGCAGGAGGTACGAGTAAAGACGACGGCGGACAGAAGAGCGCGACGGAGGAGTGGATGTCAAGGTTGGCGTTTACCGCGTATAGGCATGATTAATGAGGCCCGGTGAGGCCAGTCAAGGCTGAAATGGAGGGGGTGGGACAACGGTTTTTTCTTTGGTTTTTTTTCTGAGGGGGGGAGGCCGAAGATAGTTCGAAATACCTACGGGCTAAGAACGGTGACAGGCTCCTCTGCTTCAAGTTGAGTTGCTCCATGGTATTCGCAGGTAGGCTAGTAACTGTTAGTCAAGAGAAAAGGTCTAGAAGCATGCTCCTCATCGTTTCGATGCCGTCCTAGCATAAGTGGGCGAGCAGAAAAAAAGGGGGCAGGGCTTGCTCTGGCAAAGCTGCAGCAACAATTGCAGCAAGTGGGAAAAGCTGTCAATTGAGCAAGTCTGTCTTGGGGTTTCCATGTGAGCAGAAAGACTGCCCAGTGGCTGTGAAAGGGAGGATGTAAGGATGTCTTGGGAGCGAGCATGTTTGAGAAACAGGGCGTTGAGATGACACTCCTGACTCTCGAGTGTTCTGCTGCCATTGGACTCCAGCCACTAGTGCCTAGTTGCAGAAGTTGGTGTATTGGTAGCCAGTCGCCTGGCAGGAGAATGAATGTGGCTGCGTATGACAAGCGGTAGTGACAGTATCCATAGGGCAATATGCGAGAGTGTGTATTGTGTGTGTGTGTGCTCGAGCGTGTGGTTGTGTGACACCGGTCGTGTACAGAGTATGTGTGTGTGTGTGTGTGATATGGCAAAGTCGACAAGGAGCATGTCTGTATGAGAAGGAGAGAAAAAGCCCAGCGACAAGGCAGCTTGGGAGTCAGGAACCAACCAGAACGAGGCTGGAGTTGATGCAGCGTCACTCTTGCCCTTGGAATGGTCCATCAGGGCAGGCAAAAGGTGGGGCCGGATATATGGCCCAGATACTGTTCCGGACCCGCTTTTACAAACCCGGGCAAGGGGTGCGTTAGTCATGCTGGTGTACATTGACTGACTTGCAGTAGTCAGGAGCTCGGGGCTCCAAGACTCTCAAGAGTCAAGACTCAGGAGCAGATGCTACGGGCCTCACCTACCTTACCTTTCTACTGTGTATGTAGGTATCTCGCTCTCACCTTCCCTACCAATACAGCCAAAGGTGGACGAGGGGACGGGAATCTCCAAGGGGGCATCGGAACGGTCCAGTCCAACCTCGCTTTACCTCGCTTTGGTGTACCTAGCCGCACTACGCTTGTTGCGCTCCGCGGTGCATAGGCGCATAGACATCCCAGCTAATCACCTGCCTTGGCCCAGCGATATTACCTTCTCTCCGGGCCTGGCTACCTTCCTTACCTTACCAATACGGATACTATGTACTTTGTATACGCTCTAAACGTACGGATACTGCGTAAGGTAGGCAGGTAATGGACGAGTACCCGTACCCGTTCCGAAGTACGTACACGGAGACGCACCCGGCGCCTCTGATTCGCTGAAATGTCTTTCAACTGACTTGACGCTGAGCGGTTAATTGCGACTCGTCCTAGCTATTGCAACCTTATTCCGAGCCCTGTCATTATTACCAACTCGATAACCACCGGAATGGAGGCTGTCGCGCCTGATTTGGCTCTTGTTTGTCTCGAGGTACTAGTGGGGGTTTTCTTTCGTTTTTTGCCTTTCTTAGCTCTGACTCTGCCTCAGCCTTTCCCACGTCTTGACCTTGGCCAAGTATCATGAAGCCTAAGGAGGGCGGGCGGATGGCACGAATACAGGCAACCGCGCGAGAAAAGGGGGCTTATGATTGATCCATCATCATTCACGAGATTGGAATGGACCTCTTGAAGACAATTAGAATCCAACTT